TCTCTCTCTCTCTCTCTCTCTCTCTCTCCCACTTCCACTTTGGGCTTCTCCCCTATCGCCACCTCAGCAATGCATGTTCCCTCTGACGTCCTATGACATAATCACTGTGCAGATCATTACGTGGCGCCCATCCTCCCTCCATGTCAGCAATAAGGTATGGAGGGTGGCGCTGCATTTCCTCGCCTCTGTGGAGACCAGCAGCAGACTTAAGGTATGGAGGGTGGCGCTGCAATTCCTCACCTCCTCCAGATCATTACATGGCTACCATCCTCCCTCACACATGTCATCACCAGGTAAGTCCAGGTAAGCTTCCCTTCACCTCCTGTCAGTCTCACAGCCCCGATCCTCCTACTCCTCACTGCCTCATCACCTAGTCTACAGCTATGCGGCTATGGCCGCGCCAACATAATCTCCCTCTAGGCTGGCACCCTCCACAAGTGTCTGGTGCCAGCATCTCACTTCAGCAGCCTCACGATACAGCACTAGCATCAAGCCAGAGCAAGGCAGAATGGCTTCCCCAGTGTCTGACTGTCCTTTTGTAGCGTTGACCAGTGTTGACTGGCGTGGACCAGTCTCCCTTTGACGGTATCGAGTTATTAACGCTTCAGATTTGCCCGATCTCGACGGCTTGGATGCAGCCTTGAAGCAGCGGTACCTTTCCCAGTCGGGACTGGAATCTTCTGAATACTGCATGCAGACAATCATTGATGTGCATATGATCTATGGCCGGGGCTGATTACTGGGTTGACTTTGATTTTGGACCTGCTTTTCCCATGCTTGGTCTGACTCTTGATTTTTCCAACAGTCAACTACCTCACGTGGGGGCACTGGACGGCGGACGCTGTCTTTTTCCTCAGGCCCTGATGCCCCCTTGACCTTGGGCCCTTTCCTAGACCGTTCTCAGACTTGGGATGTAACCTTTGAGCCCTGTTTCTGGCCTTTTGACCAAAAGTTATGGGTCTTATGACCCATGCCCGCTGCAATGTGGATCTGAACTGAGTTTATTGCAGTGTACCCTTATAAGTTATAACCATTAAAATACTTAATCCCTATATTAATATTGAGGAATTTGAGGTGCCTACCCCATCGTTCCGTGACTGATCCAATCCGTCTTACCAAATCAGCTTATAGGTCGATTTTACGTTCCGAGTCATAGAGCCATAACACCGACACTCCGTTATTTTACCCCCACTGCGGTTCCACTTCCATTCATCAGAGTCAAAAAGGAAGATCCTGTATTTTGGTCCCTGCATGGAAAACAAACCATTCGCCATCTTTGCCCGACAACCTTAACGGTGCTCCACTTCTCCTTTGATACCCACTAAAATGGGGAAGAGGGGGGGAGCCTTACTACTCTCCCGCGTTCTTACATTTGCAAGGGTTCAACCATTGTGGGAATATCATTTCCATCCTCACTTCCTGTACAACCCCCCC